TAACCCGACACTGGCACCAGGAATACTTAATGCCAGATGGAGGGAGCTGTCCTTGAAGTCGTAACAAGCAGGCGCAGAGAAACAAGCCTTTATTCAGTGTGAGAGAACATAGAAAAAATTGATAACTTAGCAAGGTTACCACAAAGTGTACGTTAAATCCCACATAGGAAAGGGAGGGATAAAGGAGATTGAAGGGGGTGGGGAGGGGCAAAAGTCCAAAGTGGATAAAAACACAGTTTAGATGTTGCTGACTGTAATTTTTGATTGCGTTTAAAATACGCAGAAATATAAAACAAAGCAGTGGTTGTCACGCTAAAGGGTCCAGCTGCTTAAGAGGTGTCAAATTATTGTACCTCAGCTGGATACATCGGTGTTGGAAGCCAGGGGGTGAGAAAAGAGCCAAACCCAGCAGACTTTGGCACATTTGTCCTTTACCGCTGGCACGGATGAGCCACGCTGTGAGGCTTCAGAGCATCGATAGGCCCCCGGTGTTTTACTACCCAAAACTATGAGCTGCTACAAGAGCCGAACCATCAAGACTACCCCCTGGAAGGACAGTAAACATGACGACAAGTGCTTTTTCATATGGTGCACCTCCTAGTTCACTGACTGATGTAGGTCCAGCTAAAGAGGAGTCCATTCAAGCAGTGAGGGAGTATGAGGCTTAAAAGTTTCAGTTTTCAAGATTGAATAAATAAGATCGTATCAGTTGAAGTACCAGGTTTTTAGGAATGTGTCCTGGCTGCAGTAGACACAGAGCTGAGAGCTATTACTTAAAATAACTTGACACCAGAAAGACCAGTAAGGAAATTACAAACACAGTCATGTCAGTTTGTGGAAGCACCTCACACAAAGGTCCCCAAAGAGGTCTCTTGTTGTCAGCTTTTATAAAATCCACTCCCTTTTCTTTTTTGGTACTTAATTGAAAATTGAGCTCGAGTCCTGCCAACAATTGCAATAAAATGCTGAATGCACTGAGCTGTTGGCATGTTCACTGATCTGGCACTTGCACGTAGGAGTGCTGCTGAGTCTCTGTTGATTGTCTAGTTCTCATTCATTAGGTTATGGTTAATGCTGACGCTCCCGAATGCTGACTCCTTGCTCAAGTGAGCTCAGAGCCCAGGTATCTGGGAAAGAGAGGAAACAGTTGAGGGGCATGGCGGTGTCACAACCGACACATCACAGGAGCCTTTTGAGAAGTCTTTGGCGCTTCCCATACTGGTCCAGTACCAGTGTTGAGCCATGTGGACAGAAAGACTAAGCAGAGGCAGGTCTGTTGAGAGCTTCAGCCAAGTTAAGCACGGAAATATTTCTTTCCTGTTAACTCAAGAGTCTGGCAGTCACCTGTGTGAGGTTGCCCTCTCTTTTAGTCGCGAGCCATCGGCCATTCGGTTCAGCCGTGTCAGGAACATTTTAAAAAAGGCCTACCTGGTGATGAACCATGAGTAAAGTAAAATATGTGGTTCCTCAGATCTAACAAATCAAATGAGTGTTTTGACACTATATTGCACTGCGTGTCGTTGTCTCTTAACTAAGAAAATTTTCACTTTGCTGGTTGTGTTGACTAAATGAAATTCCCTTAGTTGTCCAAGTATACAGTTGCAATGAGTTCCTGAAGGCCCTGTCGTGGGGGAGCCAGGTGTGTGCTACGGAACAGTGGATACATTTCTGTTTGGGCAAGGCTGGTGATTGTGTTTGGCGCACAGTAGCTCACTAGGACGTGCTCTCCTTCAACCTTAAATTGTTTTTTTGGCCACTTGGGAGCAGCGGAAACAAGTTGAAAACGCATCATTAACATCACCTTTTAAAGCTCATTTGGAAAAATTGTAGGCAACCAGCTCCTTATTTACATATCCACCAGATATGGAGTAACATTAACATTCATTTAGGGTTGTGTTGCAGGCCACGTGATAAATATAAGTGCAGTATTCGCTCTCCTTTTAACTCCTGAAGGAAATATGTGGCTCTTTAGCTGCTAAATGCTCCACTATATTCACAGGCTAGTTGGTAACTTTTGTCAGCTTAAACTATGCGCACAGGGTCTGTGATCTCCTGAACTGTGAAAGATCTACATCAATGAAGCTCATTTGCAATACGCTGCATTTGCAGTGGTCACCAACTATTGCAGGCACTTTCATTCGCCCTAAAGGATAAAATTTGCTTCGATCCGTTAATGTCAGAGCATTATATTCTGAGGAGATGGATGACCTACATTAAGTTTTCCCCCCAATGATCCAACATGGCACCTGTGCCTCATTTAGACTTAATCGAAATACTTCATTCCCTACGTGAAAGTTCACACACGGTAATGTAATGTTAAGTTCAGTGAGGACATTAGCAAGTGTGTCTGTGTGCTCAATGGCCAAATAAAACGGGAAAAGCCCAAATCATAATAATAATACAAATATATGGAGGAGTACTTATGATACAAACAGGCAGGGGGCCAAATGGGCATGAACAAGGGCCAGAGAGGCAGTCTCATTTTTCCTTCTGACAGAAATGTCTACAACTAAGCATGTGTCCTTTAAGTAGAGTTTGGATTGTCAACAGATGAAAATATACTGTGTGAGCACTACTAGATGGCTGTTCCTAGGCCAGGACACACAAATCTCAGCTCCTGTGAAAAACACTGCTCCTGCTGCCCGCATCCTACCCTCCTTTTTGCACAGGAAACTGCCCAGGACTTGATCTTAATTAGTTTGGCAGTGAGTAATAACATCCTCTGAGGATTAGAGATTGTTGTGATAGATTAGTGCAGGAAAACTGACCTTTAAGTACTGGATGGTACAACAAAATGCACCGGTAATGTAAAAATCTTAAAACTTAGAATTTTGTAAAAGAAAATCAACTTTTCTAAAAATGAATTATATATACAGCGGACTGTTTGGTTATTAAATAAATCTGGACCGAGCAACAGATGTATACCAATGAGATGACAGCACTGTGATTGTACATCGTGCTGAAATTTCAGAACTTTGATTAATTTTACGAGTACGTGTTTTGTTGTGTCAGTGGAATTGGATCAGACATTCTCTGGGTGGTAAAGGTTGACTTTTCCTAAGCTACTTCTGTGGTTGGCTCAATTGGGATTTAGAAATGCTTAAAATCCAAGATAAACTCGACCTCGACTCTGAGTCTGTGTTCAACATTTTTCTAAGTGATTAGAAATCCACTTTAAAACACGGATGTTTGAGTTTGTGTTGAGATGTGCCGTCTTTTCCAAACACTACGTAACATTTAATAATTTAATTGTTAATTTAACTAAATGTACCTGAACTCAGGACTTTCTTTTTACCATAAATTACTTTTTGTCTTTCTCCTGCCAATTGTTTAATTTGTTCATGTGTTCTCTGGATTTATTTTACAATCACGTGTCAAGAAAAGTCATGGATTATACTGACTGGTCGACATCAGGTGGAGCAATTCCATTTTAAATGAACTCATTCTGAAAATGTGAATGTTGACGATTAAAGAGCAGACTTTGATCATTTTTCAGAGGCCACGACTGTTATGCTTAAAGAGGCACTCTCTATGATTCTTGGCCCATGCCTTATTTTCTGTATAAATTACATACAAAGAAAGCTTAAGAGGTGTTTCTCAGGGGGCTCAACATTTTTATGCCTACACTCCACTGGCAAATGCACTATGGAAAAGCTGAACTATGCTTGAAGTGCTGTGTTTTAGTGTGGTTTGGAGCTGAGGTGGGGATCAATTGCTTGGTTTCTTCAGCAGCATCCCAGAAAGCCCCAGAGAGGCAGGTCTGAAGGACAGGTGGGCAGCCACACAGTGCCACCTCAAACCACTGTCCCCGGGGCCGGAGGGGGGGAGGGGGGGGGTCTTACCAGAGTTAGAGACCAGCATGCCCAGAGACCCAAAACAGGCAGGAGGTGGTCAAACACTGCCGTGTCTGTCTATTTTCCTTATTGATTCATCTGTTATTTGTTTCAGTTAATAATTTAGTCTAAAAAAAATGAAATATGTGCCTCTCTCAAGACTTCTGAATTGTTGTCCACATCTCATATTTGTTCAATAATTTAGTAATATGAAACAAATGTGTTTAAGGAGGCTAGAAGAAAGAGATTATTTGACACAGTAAACACTGAGGCCTTATGCTTGTCTGTTGTTTGCCCCTAGTGCCCTTCATTTTATAGTTTTACTTTTGACATATAAGATTGTGTCCAACCACCAAGGTCCCTCATATCTTCTGTGCAGGGACATTTAGCTGTTCCAAGATTAAGGCTGAAAACTAATGGTGTTTGTGCTGATGCCACTGTTACATTCAACATCTCAGAGAAGCCAAATCAGAAAACCCTTGTTTTGGCCTCTCTCCCTGATTTTGTTCTAACTTGCACACTTAATTCTCCTTCTGCCCCTTTTTATCCACATATTTTTCCATTTTCTCCCTCCCATAAAGAATTATATAGAACTTCTGTCCTATATAACTTACGGGCTTGATGTTGCTGAACATGAAACCTCAAATAAGACTAAAGCCATGTTTCTTTTGAATAATGGGGCTCATGCTGCCCTCTTCTGTTACAGAGGCGGACTTCATCTGAATGTTTTAAAATCCGCTCACTGACACATTGTGCAATATAAAAAAAAAAAAAAAAACACTGACAGTGACACTGTGGTTATTGGTATTCACTTCTAACCATTAAATCATGCGACAAACACGCAAGACAGTGAAACTACATTTGTATAACCGCGAGTGAAAGCCAGTGCGGATACACTGCCATTAACACCGTTCTCCCGCCATAAAATACCACTCAAATTATTTACTTAAACTCGCATTCGTCCGCCTGTTCGCAACAATAAGCTCAATAACAGCGGTAAACTGCAACAAAAGAGTGAATATCGTCGATAGGATGAATGTAAAGCTGTTTTCTAAAACACAGCCTGCGGTTTCTTTGTGGCGGCGGCCTCAGAGCGTTCCATTCATAGCCGGCCAATCACAGCGCGGCTCACTGCGGCGTTCCAACCAATAGCGGCGCCGGTTGTTGTTCGGCCCTGTTGCGTCCGCGGACAGACGGAGGCAAGTGGACCGGGTTTTGAAGCTAAGCTACCTCAGTCACATTGCAGAAAGGTATTCCGCGGCTTTTTGTTCGGTTCCGTTTGCGGCACAGGCGCGTATCTGTTTGCGAAAAATCGAAGCTACCTGCGCGTATTTTCTCCGCCGGGCTAAAACTCAAAACGAGGCTTTTATTCCAGAAACCCGCTTCTGTCCGGTTAGCTGAATCTGCAGCGGGTTAGGCGCCAGTCGGGTCTGACAACAGCGCTGTTCAGTCACGTTCCCGGTGTTGTTGTTGTTTCTAGCTGCTGAGTGATAGCGCTAATTCCCGTTAGGTGAAAGCGGCAAATTAAAAAACATAATAATTTAAAAAAAAAAACATTAAAAAAAAAACCAAAAGGGGGGAAAAGCTTAAAAAGTTAAACATGGCAGAATTCCTCGAAGATCCGTCGGTTCTCACGAAAGATAAGCTGAAGACTGAGCTCGCAGCCAACAATGTGCCACTTCCCAGCGGAGAGCATAAAAAAGAAGTGTACGTGCAGCTGTATCTGAAGAACTTAACCGTGCTGAACAACAAGAGCAGTCCGCCTGCAGACACCTTCTCCAGCGACGAGGAGCTCCCTGCTCCCGTGGTGTCCAACAAAAGTCGATCTGGAAGAGTAAGTTTGTTGTGTGTTTGTTGTGGTATGAGGATGCAGTGGTCCTCTGACTGGGTTTATGGCTCCAGGGGGGTTCAGTTTTGTGATGTGATTTTAAATCTGTGTGCAGAAAGCTACCAAGAAGACAGACAAGCCTCGTTCAGAGGAAGTGGAGGTGACAGAGCTCAGCGATGAAGATTTAAAACAACAGCTGGCTAAACGTGGTGTGGAATCGGGACCCATTGTTGGTGAGTTTCTGGAGGGCTTTCTCTGGATAATGTGGGGGAAAGAAAATGTGCTTTTTGTTTTGTTTCAACATGAGAAGTGTAATATGCAACGAAATTAGATTACAGATACATTTATTTATTTATTTCTTCATTTAGAACAAAGTAACAAAGCAGATATAAGAAAATGTATGTTTCCACTTTTTGTTCAACCCAATTCCCTTATTATTTATTTATTGCAGTTTTTTGGGTTTCAAATAAGTTTTTTTTTTTTATCATTTCATTTATTTACTTTTTGCCCATAAACATTTTTGCTTTTTAACAAGTGCAGCAGAATTCTCGTTACTTATTGACCAGCATAAATGATCTATAAGTTACGTTTTACTTATAGAAGTTTTACTTAAGGGTGGTACTAAAGTCTAAAGTAGTAATAAAGTCTAGATCTATCTATCTTTCTATCTACAGCCAAGCAGATTTTTTCTATCTAGTTTAAACCTTCAAATTAGCTGTTAAGCAAAACTTTCATATAGATATTTGCAAATATTGCTCCCTATAGCAGTGCTACGCGTGTCCTAAGTAAACATGTTTAAATTATATGACTTAATTGAACCAAAATGTATGAATCCTTCTTGAATTTAAGTATAATTTGTTTATGTTTGATTTATCCTTTTTGTTTGTTTGTTTTTTTGCCCGTTCCTCCCCTCCACTCAGCCTCAACCCGTAAGTTGTATGAGAAGAAGCTGCAGAAGCTTTTGGACCAGCCTCACGCTGAACCTGAAGCTCCTGCAGACGTCACAGCTCTCCCCAAGGCAGACAGTAACCAGAATGGAAACACAAATTCTGACCAGTACAGCGACAAGGAAGATGGTGAGTTCTGGCCACACATTAATCGTCATCTTTTAAATTACTTTCTAAGGCAAATAACAAAGTATGCCTTAAAGCATGTTTTCTTTTCTTTGGTAAACCTGCTTCTTGCAACAGGTCCCTGATTAAATGTTGTAAACTAACACTTATTACTGTAGTGATATCGCCGTGTTTCACTGTTTACATTATGTGTGTTTCTCAGAGGAGGTTGTTGCCCCTGAACCAGAGCCAGTTCCTGTGGTAGAGAAGCCTGTGAGGAGCAGAGGGAAGGTCCCCGTTACCGTCAGAACCAGCAGCAGACGACAAACCAAGGTGAGGCACATTTTCCATTCTCAACTTCGGATAGGAGTATATTTTAAGTTTGTATGAACACAATTTTATTTTGCACCAACAGGTGGTGGAGGAAATTGTTACTGAAGAAACACCGAAGAAGGCCAGCGACAGTGTTGTTGAAGATATCCTTGCCAATGAAATAAGCACACCAACAGGCATCAGGTAAAGTTTAATTTTCTGTCTCACAAACAGCCATGAACATGAATAATGTACTAAAAAGTTTATTTTGGAAGAGATTAACCAAAAGTTTCACTAAAAAAAAACACATCGTTGACCTTGGAAACACTAGTTGGATTAAAATAAACTGCTAAAAACGACATTCATTTCACATCTGGGATAGCATAAATAAAGTTGACTGTGATCAAAGCTCCTTCAGGGCGGTCTTTAGCCTCAGATGTGGTCATCTAAACTGAATTAACCTCTGAGAAAGACTGAGATGCAGTTGAAAGCTAAAGAAAATCTAAAACACTAAAATTCATGAAAGGAAAATGCATAATTTTAACTATGTTTTCAGGGTTAAGAAAATGCTTGAAATAATTTTCAAGATATTCTGCTGTTTAATCTATATAAACCAACAATCTTTGTAATATGTGAAATGAAACGATCCCGTTGTGTATTCGTCAATCCATAGAGGTTCTCTGTTAATCCCTTACTACACAATTAGCAAGCAAGCACTAAATAATCATGATCAAAACATACAATAATAACAGCTGGTAAAATAAACAATGCGACATTGATTTCTGTGTTTTATAAAGGAATTTTATAAACTTTATTTTTTGCAATTGAATTTATAGTAACAATTTATGTGACAATAAAGACTTTGAGAGTCTGTAAATGTTTGGTTTATGTACCTTGAAAGTGTTCAAATGTTTTATTTATTTATCTATTTAGGTTGTTTTATTTTATTGGAAACTTTATTGACTTGTATTGTTGTTTAAAGTGCTTGACTTTCACTCTCAAAGAGCTGTGTGAACCCTGAATCTAGTAAGCCGACCTTGAGGTCCTCTTTGTACGTGTGCGCCTATCTTAAGTTTTTATTGTGTTTCCTGACCAGTGCGACCTGCAGGCGTCCGATCCGAGGTGCAGCTGGCCGACCACTAAAACCAAGTGAATACTGGCTGGATGAGTCCCGCGTGCAGCACACTGTCTACACCGAGAGCCGCTCTTACTCGGATTCGATCTCCAGAGCGGGCATCGGCGCCTCTTCGAGCAAAGCGCCAGTCCGCCGAGGTTTCCTGTCCGTGTTGCTCAAGCTCCTGCTCCTTGTTGTGGTGGGTGGTTCCCTCTACTATGGCTACCAGAACCTGGATGCGGATCAAATCAACACCCTCAAAGGCCTCTGTGACAGCGTCATCGTCCCCGTTCAGGGCGCTGTGAACAACGCGGCCACCTACCTGGGCTTAAGCAGCAGCGGCGCTACAGACAGCGCCGGCAAGTAAAGACCCTCAGCAGTCTCTCGCCATTGCCCATGCCACCTCCCTGCCGCCTGCCACAGCACACCACAACTCAAGCAGTACACTTGGCTCACCTCTTCTTCTTTTGACCTACATGGTTGGACAAAGGACACAGATTTAATTGGAACGATAAACTTTCTCCTCTCCGGACTCCAGCTTTCCTCCCACCACAAGAGGAAACAGTAGCTTCTGGATAACCGTTGTGTGGCAGTCAGAGACTCATTTTATTGATGATTTTAATCTGTGAATTGTTTGTGTCTATGTGTGTATTTAACCCCTTGTATGTAGAAAGGAGTGCAGAACGGAGAGGTCAGTTTATCCATGCATGGTTGTAGTTTATTGGTCATACTGTAGTTTCTAACTCTCCGTGCCAGGTGTTTTTCTGATGGTGAAGTGCCTGGACACTGTTAGCACTTAGTGCCCTCCCATTTTAAAGCACAAAGCAGTGCTACTACTAACACCAGAATGTCTACATGTCTTTCTGTATACATTTCAAAATTTGCTCTGTAGCTATAGAGTTAGGTAGAGTGATTTGTTATTTCTATGGTGCTCAGGTCGATTCAGCTCAAACTTTTTAATGTGGTCTGTGCTGGGAGGAGACACGTGGTGTAATCAGGTCACGTCACTGCATGAGGAAAATCCGCCCACGTTCAGGTTCAGATATAAACCGTTTTTTTTGTTTTTCTTTCAGTGGCTTGAATCATCGTATATGGGGCTTTTATGATTATGACTGAAATGATTATTCTGGTCACTGAGTTTCACTATCAACGGAGGAAGAAAATCAATTGTAATTTTTAATTTAATCCTCATCAGTTTACACACAAAATTCTAAATGACACAACTTTTAATCATTGATTATCTACCATTTATTTGACAATGGCTCCTTAAGGAAACTAAAATTGCAGTGTTCGATCATAGATTATTGATTCTGCCAGTGTGCCCATATTGTGAGTTTACATGCTTTGGGTTTTTAGTGGTCTGTTGTGCTTTTTATTTTTTATTTTTTTGAATTAGATTTCTGATCCTTCAGTCCTATATGCAGGATTGGCTGTTGCACTGCACCCACATAGCCCACCTCACTGACTGCATGTGTCCAGACACATCTGCAAAGGAGACACATGGAGAAAGTTCATCCTTTTTGGGACAGTTAATCAGTTTATTCTCTTCAGAACTCTTGACGACTTCTGCCTGTGCAAATTACCACAATTAAGACAACGAAAGTTACTCTGAAAGGGTTTGTTTACCCGCTGGGGCTGAGCATGCATTCACTGGAGGTGATGTGTGGTGGGTTGGG